TTAATTTTATATTACACTAGACCTCAAATTTTAATAGCAAATTTGAGATTGGCGATGCTAGAATGGTTCAAATAACATGACTATGTAACAATAATTCTAGAATTTTACTTTTATTTACAAAAAAAAACAAGCTATCAGCTTGTTCTAAAAAAATCCATCAATTCTAGAAAATTCCTGCCTCAAAAAAAAAAGCAGTACTTTTTTTTTAACTTTTTTTTTAAAAAAAAAAAGCCAAAAAAAAACCAGGTTATTTTTCTTTGACCTTTTTTTTTTTTTTAAAAAAAAAAAAAAGGTCTCAAAAAAAAAAAAAGCTTTGCCCACCCACCCAACCATTTAAATGCTATCGCAATTAGGTCACGACTTCTTTGTATAGCCTTGACTCGCTTAATAGAAACTTGAACATCCTCCCATTCACTTCAACAATCGCCATTTGATTGTTTGATGTAAGTGATTTAAATACACCTTGTTGTGAAAAGGTTGGTTATAACTTCTTTTTTCTAGTTTGCAGATTCATATCATGATCTGGCGCAATAACAACAGTAACTCTGGCTTCGATTGTGTTATTAGCCAGTTTTTTTCTATGCATACTACATTGCTGATATATCCTTTCATGATACTTCCTAAGCGATGTATTTATGGATTGCTGAAGTTCCAACATTCGTGAAATACGTTCTTCTACAGCTTTGGACTCAACAATTTGGGTGACGGTTTCAGAAGCAGAAGCTTAGGCGGTGGTGGTTTCACTAACAGTAATTTGGCTGGTGGTGAATTCGGAGGTGGCAATTTTGGCGGTGGTAGCAGCAGTTACAGTAGTGGTGGTGGTGGTGGTTTTGGCGATGGTGGTCTTGGTGGTGGTGGTTTCAGTAGTGGTAGTTTCGGTTGTGGCGGTTTCGGTCGTAGTGGTTTTGGTCATGGCTTCTTCAACGATATTCCCAGGGACATCTATTATAAAGAGATAAATGAACGTTTAGTGTTATAATTTTAAAACTTTAATCATGAGCCCTAAACTATAACTACCCTAACCCTATTCTAACCCTAACCTAATCTAACCCTGTTCGAATACTACTAACCCTATTCTAACTCTATCCTAACTTAACCCTATTCGAACCCTACTCTATCTAACAATTCTAACCCTACCCTATCTAACAATTCTACTCTAACCCTATTCATTTCAAATTTAACTTAACCCTATTCATTTAACAAGTTAAATGTTAACAAACTAGTTATACTGGGAGTATCATAGATACAATACATCTTCTACCCAAAGAGTGCTTCATGTGGCATATGACCATGCGCCATGTAAACCGTCAAGTTATATAATGCAACAAATACGTCGATTATATTGATCCAGTTTTTTCATTGCAGTTGATTATTCTGATCCCAAAGCAACTTAGTGAAACCACAGCCCACAGTCTGATTAAGTCGCTCGATTTGTCCTTGTGACTGTGGATGTCGGGTCGACAATGTCTAATTGTAATGTTCAGGGCCCCACAAATTTCTGTAATCATATTTGCAACAAATTCCTTACCGTTATCGCTTTGAAGGACCACAGGAGGCCCGAGGATCTTGAAAACATCTTTAAGGAGATGTGCCGCAACCGTTCCTGCTTCCTTATTTTTAATCGGGACTGCGACGAGAAATTTAGAGAACACACAGACACAGGTAAGCAGTCACAAAAAATCATAATTCTCTTTAGCAAAATCACGGAAATCGACTAAGTCGATTTGAACGTGCTGCCAAGAACCCAGCGACACTACAGATATTACATCAGTTTTTTCTTTGATGGAGGTATTTACAGCACAGGCGGCATATTTGTTTACATATGCTTTCACCTCTTCCTGTGTGATTCCAATGTTTTTCTGAAATCGCGGAAAAGGTTTTATGGTATTCACGGTGATTTGCCTGATCATAAAAGCGTTCCAAAATTACAACACGCATCTCTATGTCGTACTTGGGGACTATACGGCATTTTTCTGATTTAACTACACCATTCTTTACAACTGGTTTAATATAAAGAATTCCATTTTCATCAACTTCAAAATTTTTGCAGCGACGAATAAAGTTGGATCTTGCGGTGCTTGCGAGGGGGTTCTTTTGAACACTATCCGGGACAGTTCCTGAACAAAGATATTCGACTATCGTCTTATACTTTTCTACTGTCTTAGGAATTTTGGGAATTGCCGGCATGTTAAAAAAAAAAAAAAAAACCAAGTTTTTTTTTTTTTTGTGTGTGGACGTCTATTGCTTCTTGGGTGGGTGGCGTATGTTTTCTTGGGTGGGTGGTGTGTATTTTCTTGGGTGGGTGGTGTGTGCTCTTGGGTGGGTAGGTGGTGGGCTTTTCTTGGGTGGTGGTGAGGCTTTTCTTGGGTGGGTAGGTGGTATCGCTTTTCCTGAGTAGGTGGAATGGCCGATTGTTTTTTTTTTCTAGATAATTGTATTACACAATATCCAGAAACTGTCAGATATCGGTGTCCAACAGGTAAGTATAATTTCTACTACAACTAGAAACTATACCCTTCTGTCTGTGGCAGTTCGGGCAGATA